CACTTCGCCCTCTCCCCAGTCACTTGAATTAAGTTTCATGACCGAAAGCATACAGACGTACACATCTAGCGTTAAAGTGCCCTCTCGGCACACTGATGAGTTTGAGCCCTTTTAAATTAAAAGTATATCCGAAAAGTATGTTCTCGTATGTCCGTTTAGGAGCATGAGTTGAGATTTCCAATTCGTCCTCCATTCAATCCCCGGCTCGTTAAGAGTCTCAGGATGAAGCGAAGTGCTTCCCGATTGCGTCTTTCGCCACGGCTCTCTTGCGATCCGCAGCCTGAACACAATCAAATGATCTAATAATTCGGTTCCTATTGCGTTCACCTCGTCAGCTTCATGCATAGCGGTAACATTTAACCAGTGAGATTTAACATTCGTCAAGATTAAATTGTAGAGGATTCTGTTTTCAATCACAGATCAAATTTTTTTCTGTTATTTAAATTTTTAGAGTTTTGTAAAGTATATGTAACGTAAAATTTTAATTATTTCGTAGTGAATAACAGAACACAATCTCAATTGCAATTTCTATGATGGCTTGCCGCTAGGCTGAAGTAAACAACGTAAACTAGATCAAAATATTAATAGTTACACTGAGTAAATTAATCAACAAAAGAAAGAGTGCTTTTGCATCCGTCGTCAATTTGAGAAGAAGTGTATCTACATCTAATAAGGATTTTAAGCATCTGCAGCGGAATACTCTGCCGCATTAGTAGTAACTTTTTTCCATACACAGGAATTAAAATCACCAGTAACAAGATACCTCTGACTTTCACATTTGTAATGAAATCAAATATACAAGTTCAACTCTGTAGAAACTTTGAAAAGTTAAAGATGATACACAAGCAAGAATTATGTTCACTCCAGCCTAGCGGCAAGCCATCAATTGCAAAGATTGAAACTGAGATTGCATTCACGATAAAATTTGAAATTCACACATTACGTACGTACGTAGAGTCCCTCTAATAAGGAGTCGATTCATAAAGGATACTAGAGAGCCTCACAAGAAGCCTTCCTGTGAGACTCTCAAAGGGATATTAATCTCTGATTGGTCAGATTTCGAATCCCTTTAAATGCTGCTTTGTAGATACTTTCGATGTGGTAGTGAATCTGTGAATTGGTGTGAACACTGCTTCATGATGTAGAAGGCGCGAACGCGAAATCGGACTATCAATTGTCAACCGTGATGGAATTGTGCTGTTTCCGACCACCGACGGCAATGGCGTCCTTCCAGTCTTAACTCTTACTAAGGCACTATAAACGTGAGTATTTGCATATCCGTTATTTTTATTCCTTTCCTCACTCCTTGCTCTATTCTCACTCCGCCGTTGAACTGAGAAGGTTATGATCGTTACGGTTATTATAGGTTATAGCTTCTAAACTATTGGAGCTAACCTTGTAGCTTCGTATTTATGTATTTTCACACTTCGAAATTTTACTAAGCTAAGAGACGAAAAAGAAATATATAAAAAAATTGAAATATTATATATTAACGAAGGCAAAAAAATTTATAAAACGCCTTGTTGCATTGCGATAAAATGTATCAATAGAAGAAGGTATTCGATTATTTAAATTTTCTGCGGATAATATTCATCGAATTTGCTGTATTGTTGTAAAATAAATACATGACTTGTGAATAAACATCACCTCCTCGCAGATGAGAAATTTCGATCCTTTTCTTCAAATTGACATATTTGGCATTTTATCTAGAAATAACCTGAACGCCAGACACTCTTCAGATCCTAATATTACGATAGATTCAACTGAGAGCAAAAATGGAATGAAAGACAAAATTTCAAAGCAAATACAAATCATAATCTATAATGACCATAACCTATCACAGTTCAGTGATGGAATGGGGAGCAAGGAGTGGGAAAAGGAATTAAAATGATGGACGCGAAAACCTACATTTCTAGTGCTCTACTCTTATTAAAGGAACTCTATTGTTATTTTATTTTGAAGTGCCTTTATGTCCACAAAATGTAATAGATTGAATTAGCCAATGTCCATGATTTGATCAGTAATGTCCACGATTTTTTTGTATTCTTCGCTATGTTCACAAATTTCGGTCCATTAAGGCTTAAACACAATATGCACAGGCAATAGAGAATAACGAGCCGTCCAATCAGAACTCTGGGATATATTGAACTTATATTCCAGAGCTCTGATTGAACGGTTTGTTATTCCCTGTTGCTTGTGCCTATTATGTTTAAGCTTTTAGATAAAATTATAAGTTGCTTGTAACAAGACTAAAGTCTCTAGAGAGTAGAAGAAGAGAGTGGACATTTGAGATTCCGCATTGGTGCATGTAACTTATGTCCTTACAATGGCAGCACCAATAGGAACCTTGCTCATTCAGTATAAACGGGAGGAAAATTAGAATTGAAATACCTCGTACTCTGAATTTATTATAGTAATATCATAGAAGTAATGATCGATGTATGTGTATTTCCTAAAAAATTGAGAAATATATCTTCGGCGAAGATTCAATGTAAACATACATATGATATAATGTAATATATACTGACTGTGTCCTAAAATTCACTACCGCTATTAAAAAATCTATAATACACACGTGAACTATAAGGCTTATTGTTTTTAATCGAACTTTTCGCATTTCTCGCATTTCGTTTCTCTTTTTTTTTCTTCACATCATATGAAAAAAGTGAAAAGTTGAACCGTAAAAATTCAACTAAAAAAAATAAACTTATTTTTCAGCGTCAACAATAAATTTTGAAATGCAATCAATGTGTCGTAAGGATGGAAGTTAATAAAGTTGTTAGTAAAGTTGTTAATAAAGTTATTAATAAAGCTGTTAGTAATGCAGTAAGAACCATTTTTAATGCGATTAAAGCACTCAGATATACAACTTGGCATTTTTTTTTACTACAAAAGTAATTTTACTTAATGTTTTTTTAAATTTTTTGTATTGAAATATATTTATAATTTTTTAAAATAA